AATATTTACATTTTTTAATTTTAAATGATCTAATTCTGAGCTGGGGCTGTGGTAAGCTGATTGGTGGAGTATCTACACACCGTGCAGGAGTTCTGGGCTTGGTTCCTAGTGGGGCATAAAACATGCTCAATGACACACACCTGTGATCCCAGTACTCGGGAAGAGGAGGCGGGGGGGGGGGGGGGGGGGGGGTCAGAGTTACTAGATCATCCTCAGCTATACAGTGAGTTCAAGGCCAGCATGGGAGACAAGAGACACAGGCTCTAAAAGGAACAGGAACAGAATCTTAGTTCTTGTTAGCATTAGCAGCTTTTCAGAAACTTATTTTAAGTTTCCTAGATAAGCAATTACAATCCTGCCTTTTCCAATATTCCCTAATTTAGTAGTTCTAAGCTGAGTAAAAAAAATGTTGGGGGCAAACAATTAGTTTGTTATTCCTTTTAAAGGAATGCTTATGTTTTTAAACTATGAATGATGATGTGAGCCTTTTTACTTAAGATGTTTCTTTCTTTTAACTGCATGAAGAATGTCGTCTTCCTTAGCTTGTTCATTTGTGATACTCATCAGGAATGCATAGCTAATTTTATCAGATGTTTTTTGGGGACCATCTGTTCGGATGACGATGTGCTCTCACTTTTTATCCTACTTACAGAATCAATTACATCGGTAGAGTTTTTTTTTTTTTTTAAAAAAAATATCAGCCCACCTCCGCTTTCCTAGAATACCCGTTAGTTGCTCGTGGATATTCATCTCTCAGCACTGTGCAAGGGATGGCAATGCATTCGCTGGCTAGCGTCTGTGGTGCTTTGTGACAGTCAGCTCTGGGGTCAGGCTCTGGTGGATTCAGAAGGTAAATAATACATGTTTACAAAAATAAAACAATGGCACGGTGGCTTCCAGTTTGTAAGCCAGCACCTGGAAGCCTGAAGCAGGAGGATTGTCACAAATTCGGGGCCACCCAAGGCTACAGTACAACAAAATCAAGACCCATGAATCACGAATGCCTCTTTCTCTGTATTTAAGCCATTTAGGGCTTCCTGTCTCTCTCCTATTAAGGCCAGTCTTAGAGCAGTGGTGTGAGGACTACAGAAAAGTTTACTGGAAGAAACAAAATTCCCCTCTCCCTTTGAACCTTACATGCTCAGCCTTCCCCACCATCGACCTCACGCACTATGTCAGTGCCTTTGTTAATGGATGAGCCTGCGGTCGACACATTGCCACTCAAAGTTGTGGCGACATTAGGGCTCTCTCTTGGTGGCATATGCTATAGATTTTAAGAACTGTATGATGTCATGTAGTCACCATTACAGTGTCTTAAAAATACACACCCTGCTTTGTGTTTCTGTGCTCCATTTTCCTCCCTTCTTTCTCCTAGCTCAACACTCATTCTTTTTTAAATATTTATTTATTTATTATGTATACAATATTCTGTCTGTGTGTATGCCTGCAGGCCAGAAGAGGGCACCAGACCCCATTACAGATGGTTGTGAGCCACCATGTGGTTGCTGGGAATTGAACTCAGGACCTTTGGAAGAGCAGGCAATGCTCTTAACCTCTGAGCCATCTCTCCAGCCCCTCAACACTCATTCTTGTTTAGTTCTCTGTAGTTTTACATTTCCCAGTGTCGTAGAACTGGGTCCTCATGGTGTGCAGTCTTTTCATATTGGCTTCTTTTACTTAGCGAAAGGTGTGTGCTTTGTGTCTATCGGTTCCTGAGCTGATAACTCGTTTCTCTTTCACCGTGCACAGCGTCACACTGTCTCACTGCCCCGGTGTTTGCTGGGCACTAACTCACTGAAGGGCGCCTTGACCACCTCTAGATTTTTGGCAGTTATAAAAAAGGCTGCTAGAATATAATATGCAGGATTGGGGCAGGCATATCCTCTACTCATCTATGTAAATTGGGTTGTTTGGTAGACTGTATTTAGTTTTAAATTAAACTGTCAATGTTTTCCTATGCTGGTCTTACCTTGTTGCCTTGAAAATTAATATTATTACTCTGGTGACGTTAAGATCTCATTGGTCCTTCTTATGTGGCTTGGCCTCTTTAAACATACTCAGCATATTTTTGATTAGAAGACTTACTTCATCAGGTTAGGAGATTGTCTTTATTTCTTTTAAGTGGTTTTTATTACATTTTCTTTATTCATATATTATACATTAATAATGTTATTACATCTATGGCGCATGTGTGTAGAGATGAGAGGACAACTTCAACAGATCAGTGCTCTCCTTCTACCATGTGAGTCCTGGGGACGGAACTCAGGTCACCAGATTTGGGGGTGAAGCATCTTCATTCACCAAGACATCTCACTGACTCCATTTCCTTTGCTTCTTTAATGTTGATTTGTCCGTAGGCTCTGTTCTCTTATTTAAAGTATTAGTTACAGAAATATAGTTGAGTTCTGGGCATGGTGGTGTGTGTCATCCAGGACTTGGAAGGCCGGTGCTGTAGGATGGTAGTCTGAAGCCAGCTTAGGCCATGTCGTGTGTCTCAGGCCAGCCTGGAGTAGAAGGGGAAAGGAAGTCTCAAATAACCAAAAAGGAAGAAGCAGGTTTGATTTCCAGACCTTCCTTCTCCTTCTCTCGTCTTGTAATGCCATCTTTTTCTGAGTTATAAAGAATGTTCTGGGTTGAGTTCTTAATTAAAAATAAACATCCCGGGCTGGTGAGATGGCTCAGCTGGGTGATGTTGCTCACTCCCAAGCCTGAGGATCTAGTGTGGGTCAGGACCTGCATGGTAGGAGGAGAAACTGGACTCGTGCAAACTGTCCTCTAACACACACACATACACACACACACACACACACACACACACACACACACCAGCAGCAGCAGCAGCAAATATGTAAAATTAGAAAAACCCTGGTTGCACAGATTGACCTTGTGTGTAGAGCACAGACGAGGGAATTTTTACTGTTTCTCCTCGTGGAGCCCAGTGACCTTGGTTGGGATACAGTCGCTTCTCTACCGATTCTTCTTTTCGCACTCACTGAATGGAGGGACTCTGGTTTTGGCTGGCGTGGGATTAGGATCTATAAATATTTAAGTAGAACTTTTCCAAGTGTGTTGCCTCTGAGGCATTGGAGACCCCTCCCCTCGGCTCACCTGTGGTTTTGTTTTCTAGGCCCACCCTGGCAACACTCAGCTCACTGGCAGTGTGTCTCCTTTCTCTAACTGACCTGAGTGTCCAGGTTAGGAACTATTGGCCACTCTCCCTGCAATTCTGTGTAAGGACAGGGTGCCTGGAGCCCTGGCTGGATTCTCTGGGACAGATGCTCTCAGTTGTCAAGGTCACCCAGCTTCTTGTTGCCGCAGCCCACCTCTGGGCTTTTCTTCTGCCTGGCTGTCTCTTGTACAGTTTTTGGACAGCCCTACTGGGACGTACCTTCCCAGGAATGTCCTTGGAACTTACCAGGGCCAAAGCTGTGATTACTGACTTCTACTGTGGGATACTATTTTCCCATGCTTAATTCTTTGGTCATGTTATTGATAACTTAGGATGATGAGCTAGTTAAATGCACCGCTGTTAATTATGGTCTACAAACAAAAACAAGGATAATAGAAATTTTTGATGGGTCCGGCTACAAAAGCGATTTATTCACTGCCACCACTAGGTGGTGCCACCAATTAGTGAAAACAATGTGGTTGTTCTTGCGGGCCAACCAAGAACCACCCACAGCCTTGTGTGGAACATGTATGAACAATTACATAAGACAAGTAAGATGCTCCTGAGTTCCCACAGGATGACACTGGCTTTAAAGTGTACTTGTGCATGCAAAGTGTCGCCGAGTTGAGACACCCTGGAAAGCATGGGACTGACGGGAGATAGCGAGAACTTCTGAAGTCTTGCACACCAGCTGGTAGGTCTGAAAGCCCTGCCAAAGAAAGGTGCCTGTGGCGTACTGCAGAAGAAAGAGTCAGCTGCAGGGGGAAATACAATGACAGAGCCACAGGCCAGCTTTGCTGAGGCCGGGGCTATGCCGTCATAACCAGTCGCTCTATCCCACAGGGGACATGAGTTACTTCTGAAGCCCCGGAGACCGCAGACTGCAGCCTCTAAGTACCCAGAGCAGCTAATAAGATCCTAGCTTTTATCCAAGCAGAGAGAAAATGCGTACCTCATAAACTAAATATGCCCTGCGTGTGTCTGGTCTCTCAATCCCTGGCCCCTCGTGCTCACCCTTACTGTGCACCATCTGCTGTCGTCTGTGGAGGTCCCAGCAGCAGGAAGTGTCCTCCACCCTGGACAGCTCTCCCCACGGCCACTAAAGCGCTATTGATTGCTTGTGGTAGACACTAACCCCCAAAGGTGAGAGACACGGGCAAGTTTCTTCCCTTCTCTGGCCTCAGTTTCCCTAGGATGTGCTGGCGGGAGTGGGGGGGTGGAGGAGGATGATTCCCAGGGACCATTAGGAACGACTGAAGGTCTTCAGATCTGCACACTGCAGCCCCTGGCTTGTGTGGAGTGGGCATCTCCTTGGAGAAGTCCCAGAGAGAGGTTCTCTATCTAGCCTTCTCTTCTGCAATCCCTCTTCCTCTCCCTCCTCCCCACAGCTCCCAGCAGGCTTTCTCATCGCTTTCCCTCTAGGGAAGACAGCTGGCTCCAGAGCCCCGGAAGTCTACAGGAGGAGTTCTGCACTCAAGCCTCATTAAAACTTCAAGTGATGGCTCCAGAGGGCTGGCGACACCTCCGGGGTCATGAGACCTGCTACTCCCGAGATCAACTTGGCCAAAGGTGATATTTCGCCCTTTGAGCTGCTGCAGGTTTTTACTGAAGGTATCAGAGAAAGCAGCCACGGTTGGGAATAGAGTGGAAGTAACCTAGAGGTCTCCTCTGCCATGGGACCTCACAGAGGAAACAATGGGCCCAACTTCACAGGGTGGAGCTTGAGAGCCAGCCTGGGACTGAGGTAAACACTCCTGGCAGGAGCTTAGCACTTACCAGAAGGAGCTAGGAGGAAGGGAATGAAGGACCCCTGAGGGTCCAGGACATAGGGCTGGGGCTGTGGGGAGCATCCCCGATACATTAGAGATCCCAGTCAGCTTGAGATGACAGGGATGCTTCGGGAGAATATGAGCCTCATTTGTGATGACCGGGGGCTGGGAGTTTCAGAGTCAGTAATGAGATTGTTGAAGACACTCGATCACGGTCTGAGTCCCCAGCCAGGAAGGAATGGCCTGAGCTCTGTGGCAGGGACAATGAGAGAACAAGGAGACTGACAGCCATTGAGAGTGTTGATCTGGGAGCCCAGAGGCTGGCCTGTGTGACGTCAAGTGGCTGTCTTCTGCTTCCCATTGACCCAACACTGACACCCAGCGCTCTGGCCTCCTAGACCCAGCAGGAGAAGCAAGGGCCTCCTTGGGTAGTGGACTGCGGCTCCAGCCATCCCGACTGAGGTTCACAGGTCTTGGGGTGACTCACTGACAGCCTCTGACCCTTCACTATGGAGGACACTGCAGGCTGCTGTCACAGAGCATGGGAGTTGTGTGGGTGCAAACCCTACACCTTTAATCTCTGTAGAAGGCCAGAGGAGGGCCCTCCCTCTGCCTGGAGATCTTGACCTCTTATCCCTAAAGTCAGGGCCCTTCCCTCAAGCGAGTCAGTCCCACAGCTCCTCAGCCTCCACCCACTCTTCCTGCAGGGCCTCCCCTCAAACAGCCTCTGGCCTTGCTCTGGGTTGAGAAGCTAGTCCAAACAGGCCTCTCCCACATTCCCTGGCTGCTCTCCAGCCTGCGAGAGCCGAGAGAACCTTAACTTCAGGGACTGTGAGGGCCGAGCAGAGGCTGCTAAAGGGAGCCACCGAGTGAAGGGGGACCCTCTGGCTTCCAGATGTTAGGCCTTCTGGGGAACACAACCCTCGTGGGCTGGATCACAGGCATTGTGCTGGCTCTCTTAATGCTGGTTATGCTGTTGGCCGTCTGTCTTTTCCACAGATCACGGGAGCATGACGTGGAGAGAAACCGAGTCCGGCAAACCCGGCCTCGACTCTTCCATGGCCGGCGCCTGGGTCTCCTGGGAGTCTCTCACCATCACCGTGGCCATGTGTCTGGGGTGACCAGTGTAGGCTTTCATCACCACCGCCAGCACCTCCACCGCCAGCATCACCGTTCTCCCCATCGTCTCCACCACCACCACCACCATGCTCGCGGAGCCCGCCACTGAGGCCAATGGATGGTACCTACCTGGCCCTGCCCTCCACCCAGCACGGAAATGAGTGAACCCTGTTGTCTCCATAGAAGAGGCTGTGTCTTTGGGGTATACGGGGGGGGGGGGGGGGGGGCTGAGTTTGGCTTGGGTTTCATTTGTATGTGAGCCCTTCTTGAACTGTGCAACAGAGACCTGAGAACCACTGCAGGGCTTGGGCTTGGAGCAGGGCTGGCTGGACACCCTACCTTGTGACTTCAATTCCTGGTGACCCCGGAAGTAACAAGGGTGTCTGGTAGAACCAGTGCCCCAGTGGATACGAAGTGCTCGTCTGAGTGGGAAGGCCCTGGGATGTCCTTCAAGGGGCAGAATGTGGGATGTCCTTCAAGTGGGACAGCCTGGCCCATACATTGTTCATCCAAACATTCAGTGTTGCTTGGCTATAAGAAATAAAAGCCACCAGAAAGCATGTATTTATTTATTTGTTTGTTTGTTTGTTTAGTGAAATGGTTCTTAATTGTAGCACACTGGGAGGAGGGAGCCCGCTAGGGCCCTGTGACAGAGCCCTGGGAACTCTTCTGGGATGAGAAGCAGGGCCTGGGAGCTGCCCGTAGCATGGGGAGAAATAGGTGGTCCCTGCCTAAGGTACAAGGAAATGTTCAGTGTGGACATCCAGGGCTTTGGAGAAAGGACAGTTGAGATCACACAGACTGGTCTCCTGAGCACTCAGTGCACCTTCCAGCCTGGTCCAGGGCAGGCGCCACCCCCTGGCGGCACTGGTTCAGTGTTTCTTTGGGGACTGCGTAGGGATTCTGCTCCTGACCTTGAGTTTCCAGCCAGCTTGTTAGTGGATTCACAGTAGCGTCTGATAGGAGGGAACAGAGTTATTTAAATCACTTAGAGTGCTGGGCGGCCTTAAGAGAATGCTTGCCTGGCCTGGACCTCAGTTTCCCTTTCCTTAAAATGACACGGATAGTGGAGACTTCTACCAAAGTCAATAGGCACACAAGGTTGAGTCCATGAAGGAGAAGGAGATCTCATCCCAGGCTAAGCCTGGGAATGCGGGAGAAGCAGGCCAAGGCTCATGGGGAAGGGAGCTGGCCAGACAGTCAGTGACTCACTGGAATAGAATGTCCCTTTTCCTTGCCTTTCCCAGTGGACTCCCTTTGAGGACTAGAGGAGGAGTGACCAGGGACAATGACAGCCACACTAGATTTCTGTGATGGGAAAGTAGATGAGAGGTCTGACGGATTGACTGCCATCTGTCAGCTCCACGAGTAGCCCAGCCCAGCCCCAGCTCCCGCCTCTCTCTATTCACAGTCTCCTGCATTCTGCCTCATGTGGACCTGTCCACTTCCGTAGCTTCCCGCAGACTATGCCTTTAAGTCAAGATGGGAAAGAGGGAGAGGTTTAGGTAGAAGGTAACAGGACTGGACAAGTGTCCTGTATTCCTGATGAATACCAGGCCCTTCTCCCAGGCAGACTCAAAGAACCGGCAAAAGAGAAGCAAGATAAACCATGAACCTCGCAACGACCTCTGGGACTCATCTCCCAGCCCCTCGAGGGGTTGCTGAGGGTTCAGAAACCTCCATGTGTGTGGTCCTGTTTACATCTCTCTAATTCTGGTTGCCCCAATTAAGATGAATATTGTCAAGTGACTCCGTGTACCCGGAGGATGAGCCCAGATTGTCGGAGCATCTCAGAAAGGGGCTGGGCTAGAACAGGACCATGCATTGTTGGCTCTCCTCTGTACTGAGCGGTTTGCCTACACTGTTACTAAAGTTCTCTTGGACCCGGGAGAAACTGGGCAAGTTCCTGACTGTATGACCTTGGGCCCAGATCATTCCCTTCTGGGCGGTGCTGGGGGCCTCGGTGCCTGATCAGGCACGTGGTGGTCAGGTGGTCACTCTGAATGGTCCCTGTGAAGAGCTAGCTGGAATACAGGAAGGGAACCCATGCTCTGTCCTTTGGTTCATTCTTATCCTCACTAACTGGCAACAGACCTGGCCAGGCTACCTACTCTGTGGCTATACCTGTGCCAATGGAGGTGCCAATCACGGCACAGGGCTGTGGGACCAGTGTTTATGAGACCAGCCCGGTAGTGTCCAGTTTCTGGAAGGCTCCATTTTCCATAATATGGGCAAAGGGCAGGCCGATAACACCGATTCCTTGCCGGATGTGGTACAGTCTCAGGAGGCGCCCGGTTTGAGTGGGCTGGGCTGGGCTCCCTCCTGACACCTCTTCAGGGGCAGTTAAGGAATGATCCCGCAAGCGCATGCGCGGTGGGGCGGGCTGAGTGCTCTAGCTGAGGAGGTGGTGGCTACGGGTCACAGGCCTTCAATCACAATTGGAGGAAGGGATACAGGAAGTACTCACAGCTGCACAGACACCCCCGCCAAGCTCCAGGCAGCACCAACAGAAACCACAGCAGGCTTGGGGGAAGAGAGTCCATGGCCACCTGGGGTGGTCGCCAGACAAAGAGTCTGGCGCACAAGGTACAGTCAGAGTTGGCACGCCTCTGAGCCAGGGTAAGTCTTCACCGCACCCAGTGTGCTGTGGGCCAGAATTGTGGGCCCTGGGTGGCAGTAAAGAGGGGGCCCCATGAGGGTGTTTAGAAAAGTGAAAGGGTCCCACGATGCGTCACTGAAGGGGCTGGAGGAAGTCCTTCCCTGTCCACACCACACTTTCCAACCCTGCCCACGCCACAAAGTGGAGCCAAGTACAGCCTGCTCTCTCTCCCATCTCCCCCACTGGAGGGCCCGGGCGTCCATAATGACCTGTGTGTGTGCTGCCTCCCCTCCCCTCCACTATGCTTTGGACAGGCGTGTATCTTTCTCCACACCAGCCTCTCAGTCCAGGTCCAGGGGCTGGAAGGGCCGCAGAGAGGCCAATTGGAAGGCTGGCCCTGGGTCCTTCCCCCACTGGAGCCAAGATCCTCCTGGATCCACCAAGGTGGAGGCCTTTGTTTCTCTCAGTTTATACAGTAGCTGCTTTGTTTGTTTGTTTGTTTTAATTTAATCAGTCACTCTTGAAGTCCTGAGGCCTTGCTAATGGGCCAGGGCTGGCCTGGCATCTCTCTCAGCATCTTCTGCTCCTCCTTCCTTCCCTTGCCCCCTCCATGTCCAGGGAATCATGGCTTACATCTTTCCCTGATGGTGCTTCAAGAAGCCGCTGGTTGGGTTGACCACATCCATCTCTTGGAGGTCAGACCCGAGGTTGAAAACTAGACAAAGATTGTCTGGTTCCAGCAGAAGGGTTCGTGGCCTAGGATGGCACAATCCAAGGCCTCAGACCAGTGTCTTAGAAGCCGGAGGAGCTACAGGCACCCAGCATAGAGCCCCTGTGAGTTTCTTTGGGACCCTGAGTCTCAGAGACCACCCACTAAGACAAGCGCCACTCGGAAACCATGGAGACGGCAGTGATCGGGATGGTGGCTGTGCTCTTTGTTGTCACCGTGGCCATCACCTGCGTCCTCTGCTACTTCAGCTACGACCCGAAGACCCAAGACCCAGAGAGAGGGCCCAGGAGCAGCTTCACCGTGGCCACTTTTCACCAGGAAGCCTCGCTCTTCACAGGGCGTGGTCTCCAAGCCCGGCCCCTGCCGAGAGCCCAGAACTTCTGGACTGTCGTGTGAGGCTGGCGGCCCCTCAGCTGCTAGTGGGTCAGGCCCGCCTATCCCTTCAGCAAGCGTTGTCTGGTGTCTCGCTCCTCCCAGGCCTCCATATTTGTCTTTCCATGTTCCATAAACTTCTTGCCTTCTTCCCTTTCTGCTGGCTCTGCCCTGTGTCCTGGGGAAGCTGAACGTGTTGGGATCAGGTGTGAGTTACCTCTAAGCTGGGCCCTACTCACCACAATGGGGCTGAGGAGCCTGAGGAGATGTGGACAGACACTGTGTGGCATTCTATGGTGGGGTGGCTCCAGCCAGCTATGGAACCTCACTCCAGGTTAGTTTAGCACCCTGTCTGCAGGATGCCTGAGACAAAGTCTACTTGCCACCCAAGGAACCAGCGCCCCCAAGTGGACATTTTGATGAACTACTTCTTGTTTGTTTGTATTTTTGGATGCCCTGTGCCGCCCAACCCTGAGACTTGCTCCTTAATCAGCCCTGAAATTCTGACACCAGAGAGCTGTTTTCTGGGAACAAGTGACTTATTTTATAATTGCAAATGTATATCCTTTTATGGGTCTTTCCAAATCTGCTTTGGAAAACCACAAAAGGAAGCAGAATAGAAAAAGAGCCACAGAAAGCACAAGGTGTTTGTTTCATTACCAGGAAGGCCACTGAGAAGACTTTAAACACGTTTTGAACAAGACTTGCTTTATTGCTATAGTCCGACAGACCGCATCTATTCTTAGCAGACGTGAGCGATTTGCGTCACTTAGGAATGATAGAAACATCGTGAACTGAAAGATAATTCCAAAAAAGTTAAATGTTGCTACATTTCAGCACATGGGAAGAAGTTGCTGGGTTTTTTTTTAAACCACAAATAAAAGGACATTTGTTTCTTATTAATAGAAAAATCTGCTCTCTCTATGATCACGAAATAGATCCCATCTCCTATTTAAAGACTAGAATCTGTAGAGTGTGAAGCCATGGGCCTCCTGGATGGTGTATCTGCACCTAGCCCTCAACAGGGGACTCTCTTAAGACTTTGTCGAAGGGGACCAGATTGAACAAGGGGGCTCTGGGATGCAGGGGTGTCCAGACGTGGCTGCCATAGGAAGGACTGAGAACGACAGGCTTGGGTCTGGAGAGATGTGGAGATGTGCAAAGAAGGGATGGAGGAAGGGATGGAGGAAGGGATGGAGGAAGGGAGCCAGGCTGCTAGATGGGGTGGGGGAGGGGTGAATCTGGGAGGTCACAGGAGCTCCTGGAAACATGTCCTCATCACTCTGAATGCCAAGTCCCGGACTAGGGCTTTTATAGATAGGCCAGAAAGACGGCAGGGGATCCTGGGGACTAAGCAAGGGGACTCCCTGGAGGCTGAAGTCAGTGTAGTGTTGAGATGGGTGAGGTGGAAAGGTGGAAGTGGGCCTGGGTGGAGGAGGAAGTCAAGCTGAGTCAGCCTTAGCTCCCTCTGAGGGACTGCTCGCCAGTGGTCTGGCTTCACCAGGGCACAGCTCTGCCCCAGGCGGGCTCAACAGACCTTTCTTGAAGGTCCACAGGAACTCTGCAGAGTCCTCTCCCCAGGGACACCTGGACTACTTGGAGGTGGGGTCCCCAGGTGCAACGAAGCACATGAACACAGGAGCCTGTGTCAGGGAGGGAGGGGGACCCTTCCCAAGTGGCTCTTGGTTATGGTGTTTGATCCCAGCAATAGATACCTAGCTATGACACGATCCACCTCTCACCCAATCACATGCCGAGTCCTTTTTCTACAATCACCCGTGTTTTATTCATTCATTCCTTTACCCTTCAGTGAGGGTGGACAGAACTCTGTGCTCAGAGAAGGTGGGAGTCAGGCAGACCGAGTCTCCACACTAACTGAGTGGGAACAACAAGCTTTGGGTGCCCGGGGATGGCGGTGGGGATCCCAGGGAAATTCGAGAGGAGGAATCCCTGAACTGGACTGGAGAGGAGAAGAGACCAGTGAGCAGATCCAGGAAGGTGCTGGTGTAGGGAACCTGTAGGGCAGAGAAACAACAACTTGGCCTGGCCCGAAGGAGGTGAGACTAGACACCAGTCACCTCCTAAAGGAGGTGTATTTCCAGGCAATCGATGCTAAGCATACTACCCAGGCCGCCTTGTTTGTTCGGGCTAGGCCGGTGTAGGGTCCAGGCGTGAATGGGGGCAGGGCCGCCTGCTGCTGTTGCGGTGGGGAGGGGGCTCTCGAGGCAGGACATGGACCCCAGGCTCTCAGAGGACTGTGGCAGTCCGTCTGAGGGCAGGGAGATGATGTCACTTCGAAAAGTGATGGCTGTCCTCTGTGGGGCCAGCTAACAAAAGAAAGGGCTGAGGGGTACAGCTAGCAGGGTCAGGAAAGTGGGGAGGACACAGAATGAGAATCTAGGGAGTGGGGTTGCCAGTCTTAATGAATAAAAACATTATACTTACAGATAAGCTGGAGATTCACGTAGATGGTAAGTAATTTCTAGTATAAATGTATTTCATGAGATATTTGGAATGCACACTGAAACCTCTATTGGCTATGTAAGGTTAAGTGTTAAGTTAGGGGCATTCTATCTGGTAACCCCATGGGGACAGGATGGGTCTGAGAGGCTGGGGAGCTGGCTAAAGACAGCAGGAGGCTGTCGGAAGAGAGACTAGAGAGAGGTCCCTGAATTTTGCCACATAAGGGTCGACAATGGCATTGGTGAGTGAACGGCCATTTTTTAGGCTGTGATGTGTGCATGGTTTGTGTATGTGCATGTGTATAGATGGTGTGTTGCATGTGTCTGATGTGTGGCATGTATATGGTTCATGATAAGTGGTATGTGTAATGTGTACAGTACCTGTGTAGTACATGTGGTGTCTTAGTTATGGCTTCCATTGCTGTGATGAAACACCATGACCAAAGCAACTTGGGAGGAAAGGGTCTGTTTGGCTTACACTTCCACATCACAGTTCATCATCAAAGGAAGTCAGGACAGGAACTCAAACAGGGCAGGAAGCTGGAGGCAGGAGCTGCTGCAGAGGCCATGGAGGGTGCTGCTTACTGGCTTTCTCCTCATGGCTTGCTCAGTCTGCTTTCTTATAGAACCCAGGACCACCAGCCCAGGGATGGCACCACCCACAGTGGGCTGACTCCTCCCACATCAATCACTAATCTCAAAAAATGCCCTACAGGCTTGTCTACAGCTTGATTTTATGGAGGCATTTTCTCAACTGTGGTTCCTTTCTCTCAGCTTTCTCTAGCTTGTGTCATGATGACATAAAACTAGCTAACACATGTAGTATGTGTACGACATGTGATGTGTGGTATGTGAGACTGAAGGGTAGTATGTTTTTGAGTGTATGTGGTGTGTGTATACAGAGTATATTTCGTATATGTGGTATGAGTGTGTGTATTGTGTGTGTCTGGTGTGTTTGGTGTGTGTGCAGTTTGGCTGTGGGTGGTGCGGTGTTTGTGTGCTGTGTTGGATGTGTCTGGTATGTGTGATATTCGAATGGTGCGTGAGGGATGTGGTGAGCCATGTTTCCCGCTGCAGCCTGTTGTGTGAGCAGGAGAGGCCCAGCAACAGCCGGCTGGGAGCCCTCTTACTGCCAAAGGCTGTCTTCTACCCACTGTCCCCAAGAGAGGAAGGTAGCAGTATAAGGACAAGACGGAATGGGCCCTGGAATACCAGCAAAGTGGGGAATGGTTTGCTGGCGGTGGTGAGGGAGGGCAGCAGCTGCTCCAGGCCAGCCTAGGAATCTGGGCCAGAGCCACCCTGGCACCCGGCCCTCCCAGTTCCAAATCTGGTACATTTTCCACTTGCTCTGGAGCTACGGCCAGTTTCCACGGAGTCTCCCACTGCGACAGGCACCATGTTCTCACCGTATATTGTCAGTGCCCAGGGCAGCCCATGACCTCCATCGCACCGACTGGGGTACCCAGCTGCTGTGTGTGAGTGCTTCGGGCCAGTAGAAACTCCTCCGGAGCAAGGCTGGGCTGCTTCTAACACGTGTGTCACCTCAGCAGGACCCTGTTCACATCTTCAGGAGTTACGGAAACTGGGGGACCAGGCTCTTCAGGCTTACCTAAGCAAATCTTACACACCCATCCCTGGTTGCACGTCTGCTTTGAAGATAAGGCCTTTGCCACCTGCAATCTCTCTTGGCAGTTCCTGAGCCAAGGGCATCCCTTGAGGGACCTCCCCGACCCCCCCACCCCATGAGGTCTGGGACCCTGGAAGAACAGACTTCAGTCCACTCAAGTGTGAAGCCCCTGGTCAGATTAATTGCATCTTGCATCTGCAGGTCCAATTTTCCCTCCTGCCTTGGGGGCTTCCTGGTCAGCTCCAGCCCTAGATGAGCGAGTGGCAGGACAAATGAGCTGTGTGGGTCCTGGGCCTCTACCATAATGTGCTGGGGTGCAGGGATGAGAAGCCCACCTAGCTTATTGCAAGATGAAAGATGGAGATCCTAGTCTGTAGCTGTAGGAGACAGGGGGAAGGGCACCCCCACTGTGGCCTCTCTCCACAGTCCCTGGCTCTGAAACCTGGCGGGGTTTCTCTGTGGGACTTGCTGCATTCTGGAATCAAGAGGCCTTGAAATAACATGTTTTCCGGAAAAGTACCTTCCTTAGAGGAAACCACTTGTTCCAAGGAATAGAAAAGGGTCATTGTGTCTTGCCAGGTCCCCATTCCTGAGGTCGTGACACTTGAAAAGGCAGGCACAGTGGGAGACATAGAGGCCTACGGCCCTCCCCGCGCTCCCACCCAGATGCCCCCATTCAGCACATGTGCAGTTAGAAGCACCTCAAATGCTAACAGGAGGGGCTGAGGGGCACATCCTAGCAGCCATAGCCATCCACAGCAGGCAGCCTTCAAAACAATAAGGCCAACTTACACTCTGGACACGAGATCATTCATCACAAGTGAGGCAGACTGCAGTAAAACCTGACTTTCGGTAGAACACATTTCCCTATATAGATGATGCGGAGAACCCTAGGCCCTGGTGAATGACCGTCTGGGTAAGTGAGGCCATGTGTTTCATCTCAAGCAGCTCCCCAAAGGCCCAGGTGGTAGAAGCTCGCTCCTCAGGGCAGCGCTCTTGGGTCCCCGAGGACCTGTTTTTGAAAGGCCTCATGGGATCTGGGCTTTTCTTTATCCCCTGTTACACCTCCTGACAGGTGGTTTTGTTCCACCATGATGTGAGGCCTCAAGACAACACAGGCCTAAAAGCAACAGTTTTGACAGCTCTCGGAGGACTGGAGTCTTCAAACCTGGGAGCCTTCTTTTTGAGACTGGGACTCACTCTTTGGCCCAGGCTGGGTCTTTAACTCTTGATTCTTTACCTCTGCCTCCTGAGTTCGGGATTACAGGCACAACAACACACACAGCTCTGAGGAGGTTTGGGAAGAAATGCTAATCATGTAACCATGAAGTAACAAGGCTATCTTGGCCACGTGGGAGGATCCCACACAAACAAAATGTGTTCTTTGGTACTGAAGAGGGAGGCTCAAGAGTTGGGTCAGCACAATGAGATGAGAGAAGGCTACAAGGGGATACGAGTTAAAGCGTGGCAGTTTCTAGAAGCTGATAGAAACGGTAACCAGCCACTCACTCCTGTGGAGCCTCCAGCCAGGAATGCAGCCTGCCACACCCTTTGTAGTTGAAGTGTTTGCTTGCTGTTAAATCTTAAAAGTTGGTTTTTTGGTTTTGGTGTTTTTTTTTTTTTTTTTGTACTTAGATTATTTTCCAGAAGCCATTTAAGTATCATAGATAAGATAGGGAACTCAAACAAAAATACTTGGTAGTTTGTATGGCTTCAAATGTAGAACTTTTTTTCTCATGAAAGATAGTTTTTTTTTAACAAAAATAAAAATGATGTTTGTTTTAGAACTAATTTTATATTTATTATTTGGGATGGAGTCTTGCTGACTGTGATCTCGCTGCAACCCTCCTGTCTTAGTCCCCCAGTGCAGAGACGATAGGCATGTGCCATCTAAGCAAAGCTTAAGATGTTGAGAGGTATCACCTGTTATCCCGCCTTGTGTCTGTACCAAGATACAATCATATATTTCTCTCTATTGGTGGAATCTTGTGCTCAGTCAACAGCACAAACCAAGATGGCCTTGAATCAGCTCCAGCAGTTAGTCCTATTCTTGCTGCTGAGCAGGTGGTGTGGCTTTTGATGGACGTAGGTCTGAGCACTGCAGAGGGCTGTGAGCTTGGGGGTGAGGCTAGGAAGGGAGGAATTGCACTCTCACGGAGCAGGATGGCGTGGTGGTCATGCCCTGGGCACTGGGAGTGTGCGCATTGAACATCCCGGTTGTACCCTATGGAAGCAGGATCCATGAGTACAAACATGTAAATCAATGGTGTTCTTGGAGTATTGTTCTAATTGCAAATTACTGTAAAGATCCGAGTGTCCATCAGTAGGGAAATACAGGAGCAAACAATGGCACAGCTACAAAGTGGGATAATAAAGACATGAGCCGCTGGACACAATAAATACAGCCATGGCATCAGAAAAGACAAAAAGGGCACCAGTCAGGTGCTGGAGCACTGCCTGTCATCCCAGCACCTGAGGCAGGAAGATTAGGAACCCAAGATCACCCGGCTGTGTTAGTGAATTTGAGACCAGTCTCAAAAGCAAACCCAGAAGCCAAGCAACAGCAACAACAGAGACTGAAAAACAGAAATGAAAAATCTGCCTCCATAAACAGTAAAAACAAAGGCTCCTAACTGAGGTG